TTTATTAGTGTCATTTGTCAATGCTGATGGTTTGACAAAATACGATAAGAATAAACAATGAAATCAATATACATTTATCTACCCTCTAGATAGATTATTCTCATAAAACAACCACAAATCCTCCCTCTTTCAAGGATAGCCTATGGCTCGTTCCAATGCCTGAGTCATATGACTTGGATAAAGGGTTTCTTCATATAATAACAACTGCTCATCCTTTTTTACTTTGCATATTGCTCTCTGAAGATAATTGCTTTATACAAGAGAAGAGCAGTAAAATACTTTATTTGATAGTGAGGTATGCCCCTCTATTTATATCTTATTAGTAAAACACTTGGTTTTAGATATGGCTTACATACCATTCTTGTTTATGTATTTCCAATGGAAGACCTAAAGCTCAAGATGATGTCATTGCTAATGTGGGATTAGGTTCAAAGAAGAAGATCACAACTATAGATGATGTTTTGAAATGACTGGTTGAATGGTTGTGTTCATAGGTTTGTTTTTGTACTCCTAAATGCATTAGTTCTCTCTAGGAGATTAGAAATGAAATCATATTTTTCTTATACTTTGTTACCGTATAAGAATGTTCTTGATAGTTGAAAATACTCTCATGTAGGTTGGGTCTTGTGTTCTTTCGATATCTTGTGGCTTGGTAAAATATGTTTCGGAAGGGATCATATTGTCCGCCCCCTTCCAGGTTTGTTATAGCTATTTAATATGTGTGACTCTGAATTTATAAGAGTTTGCGCAATATTTCTTTAGTATATATAAATGTGGGTCTGACACAGTTATGATGTGAGAGGTATTTTCTTTTTTTGATACCATTTGTTCTTATGGATGATTTTAGCTTGTTTTATTATTGTTGTGTTTTTGTGTCCATAATATTTGTTTCATTGAGAATTTATTTGTTCAATAGCTTGTGTTTATATTTTAAATTCAGTGTATTTTCGGTGCCGGGGATATGTAGTGCTTTTGGTTGTTATATATTGTTTCCTAGACACTTTTGTTGGTGGACCTTGGTTGTCATTAATATTGAACATGTTTGTGAATGCATGTTTATTTAAATTATGCGTATTCCATATATGTGTCATGATTACGATATTATTATTCTAAAGAGGTGAGACTTCGGTGAGTCTTGGATTATTATTAGATTTTTTTATTCCTAGAAAAAATTAGAGTGGATTACTGTGGGTGACCAGTGCAATGAACTCATCCGGTTTTGTTACATAATTATATGAACGTTTGGTAGATGATATGGACATAAATTTGATGGTTTTTTTTAGTCTAGTGATAGTCATAAATCACATGCATCAAATATTTATATTATTTGCGATATTTGGTTGGTCTTGATTAGATTCTACCTGATTTGGGCATATATTATTTATTTATAATTTGCAGGAGAAAAATAATAAAATTGATATAATTAGTGGGAAAAGATAACAAAAAGGTCCAAGGCCCAATTGTTACAAAATTAGGGCAAATATAAAGGAAAGAAAGAAAGGGGAGGCGCCACTTTATGCCACTTGCCGAGGAGAACACCGTGCAGAAGAGTCCTAGAGAGAAACCGTGCAAGGGCAAGAAGGAGAAAGATTCTTCCAAAAAGATTTTGAGTTCCACCCCTACCAACATCATTCTCAGGCGATGTTTCTCTTTGCTTTCTTTTTCTTTGTTCTTCCCTATATGATTAGCGAGTAGTTTACTTTTCTAATCTAGGAGTGGAAAACAACTTGGTATGGATTTGAGAGATTAGACTTGTTTTGATTTATGATATTTCTTTGGTTCCTAAGTATTTATGTGGTTTCTGATTTTTTTGAGTTATAATCTTTTATTTGGTTGGGTATTGTGGCCAGGTATTTCAATTGGATTAAGGATTTATTGCTAAACTAAATTAGGCGTCCATAATTGCATTTTAATTTGGTGCAAGTAGCAACTAGTGGCAGACACCATTAGGAAATCACGGAATCAATTTTAAACAATTTTGCATAGTTAATTGTTAAATTGAATTAGGCTCTTATAGTTCACAAGGCGGTTAGGCTAATAAATTCTTTGTGGCGTTACTAGGGTTCTAGTCTAACTAGGGAAGCAGTTGACGGGCGTACCTAGACTGTCGAGATATTAAAGAAGAGTTGGTTATTAGGTGCGTGTCAGTAACTATAACTAATTTATTTAGAAATCAATAAAATTAAATATTTATCGATGATTAAATCCACTACCTAAGTTGTCAATTTTATTCCTAGACTGGAAACTTATTTTTATTGAATTTATCTTTTAGAAAGTTTTTTAGTTTTTTATTTTATTTTTATTTCCTTCTTCCAAACTCCTCCCTTTTATTATATTTATAGATTAAAAAATCAAAAATAAAACATTTTCAATTCCCTGAGGAGACAACCCTACTTCATCTATACTATGTTATTTTTATTGCAAAAATAGGTTTATTTTATTTAAATTTTGCAGCGTGTGACAAACGCCTGTCAAACATTGGCGCCGTTTCCGGGAAATTTTAATTGGTTTATTTATCTTTGATTGTTATCTATTATCTAAAAAATTTAACCTTTTCTAGTTTATGTGGAGATCTGATCGCACAGGAAACTTGATTTTCGACGAAATTGAGAAGACTGCACGTCGATTAAGAAAAGAAACTAGGGAGTGTCGCCAAAAAGATTTAGCTTCAGAATCATCTAGCGATTTTAGTTCTGACGAGATCGAGCTAGAAAAAGAGATGGATCAAAGGACATTAAGGGAGCTGGCAGCCCCTAACTTGACCCAGCAGCATCTCTGCATCACATATCCGACGGTAGACGGTAACAATGCTTTTGAATTAAAATCAGGACTAATACACTTGTTGCCTTCTTTCCATGGGCTGCCAGGAGAAGAGCCACATAAGCATCTTCAAGAATTTGATGTCGTCTGCACAAGTATGAAGCCACAAGGAGTAACAGAAGATTAAATCAAGCTTCTTGCTTTTCCATTATCGCTGAAAGATGCTGCTAAAGATTGGCTATTCAATCTACCTGCTGGAAGCGTTAACACATAGACTGACATGAAGAGAAAGTTTCTTGAGAAGTACTTTCCCACTTCACGAGCTGCGATCATGAAGAAAGAGATATGCGGAATGACACAACATACATGGGAGTCTTTATTTGAATATTGGGACCATTTTAATGCTTTACTTATTCGATGTCCCCATCATCAAATCTCCGTGCAATTATTGATTCAATATTTCTATGAAGGTTTGACTTCCATCGACAGGAGAATCATAGACGCAGCAAGTGGAGAGGCCTCGATGAACAAAACTCCTAGAGAGGCGTGGGACATACTGAACAATATGGCAATGAACTCAAAACAGTTCGGACCAAGAGAAGCAGTAGCAGTTAAAGAAGCAAGCAAGGTGAGTTCTATTCAACAATTGACTGAACTGTTAGTTAGTTCCAGTTAGTTCCCCACACCTGAGTTCTTCCGTCGTACTTTTGTCGTTGCATGAGCATCCGCCCTCCACGTTTATATGTTGAATATTTTAATATAATGGATTGAACACTATTGTGTAGAACTCTGACATCTCTACGGCTTATTAGATGATCATTTTGCACATACGTATGTAATTTTGGCTTGCTTGTCCTTTATGTAGTCCTGTCTTCTGTAGAAAAAAAGTTATTATAACGTACAGGTGATCCATTTTTTTGTAGGGATTATGGAAAAAAAGCTTATATGTTAATTGTAATGAAATTGATGTTGTTACCAAAATCGTTATAATTGTCTCTTCAGGTCATTTCAAAATGTTTTTATAACGGATAGGTGATCAATTTTTTGTCACGAAAAGATATTACAAAAACTGTTACTAAAAGTTATTGTGCATATCAGAAAATATTCGCAACACATTATTTTTTAAGACTTCGCCTGGTTCAAATAGAGTTCTAATTTTTGTCACGAATAGGTACCTGTAACAAAAATCGATAGAAAAATATGTTGTAGATGTTAGAAAACTTTTACACCGTATCATTTTTTACAGATATGAGTTGTTACAAAAAGAATTTTTCTTTTTGTTGCGTACAAAAAATTGTAACAAAAAGTCATCCCACAGGCGTTGACCACTAGGCTTTTGTTATAACATTTGTAGCGACGCAGACATTTTGTTACTCGAGTAAATGTACCGGTCAAAATTTGCAACAAAATCGTCACAAATAGGTTTTTGCCATAGAAAAATGGTCATTTTTAGCAGATTTCATTCCACTAGCCATAGTCATTTTTGTTGTAGTGAGCATTGACTCTTTGACATATAAGATTACACAAGATGTAGATGTTGAGGTAAGTATAAGGTTTACTAAACCTAAAACATTCAATTGCGATTTTGAAAAGGTAATATAAAAGAGTAGTATAGAAGATTGTAGGACTAGTGTCATACAATAGTAACACATAAGCCTTGAAATTCTTGCATACTACATGTTGATTGTAATTTTACTTCACCAGTGCTACTACAAAGAACATATTAATTGCTCAATAAAACCTTTTGAGTGCTGGATTTCGCATTGGGTGTAGACCTATAATATACACTACAAGAAAAAATTATTTTTGTAACAAAACTTTTTTGTCTCTAAATCTATTTTTTCCGTTACTAATGACATTAGAGACGGAATTAGGAACGGAATTACGTTAGCTAAGTGAACTTTAGGGATGGAATTCCGTTACAAATATATTATTTTTTTTTGTAGTGATATAGCTAGGTCGGTCTAGATGGGTGTTTTCTAAAAGTGTGTTCAATGGATAACTTGTATCGACTGTTGAAAGAGATGCAATTGACAAGATTTATCCGATTGCGATTGCCATGGCATTTGTAGAAATTGAGAATAATTGGGAATGGCTAGCTTCTGAACGTGCTTTTAAGAAAGCTGATGCGAGTGATAGACCAAAAAGTCTAGTCAAGAATGCATGCACCAAATATTCTAAATTAAAATAATAATAATAATTTAAAATATATATAGAGCAAGAACAAGAGGAGATGAGAGTAGAAAATAAAAATGGAAACATGTATATATAATTTCAAAAGAGTGACAAATCAAACTTTGTCAACGTTATTTATCATAATTAATCACTTGCATTGCATTGCCATAAATTTCTTAATACATTAGAGCTGTGAAGCAGCAGCAGCAGCAGCCGCCCTGGTCATGGTTTGAATGACAGCATGTATGCTCATGCCTCCATCCACCACCAGATTCTGACCCGTGATGAACGCCGACTCGTCGGAGCCCAAAAACGCCGCCACCTCCGCCACATTCTCTGCCTTGAGCGCCGCCCCTTTCAAGCACATAAGCGGCTCCGACATCTTCGCCAACTCCTCAGCATTGCCGGCCCAAACATTAATCGCCAGAGGCGTCGCCGTCACCCCGGGCGACACGCAGTTGATCCGTATCCCGTGCTCCCCGAGCGTCGGGAACGACGAGTTCATCAGCCCGATCAGCGCGTGCTTCGACATCGTGTAGTCCACGTTGGTCGGGCTGCTGATCGTGGCCGCCGTGCTGGCCGTGCACACGATCGAGCCCCGCGTCCCGAGCTCCACCATCTTGCGCGCCGCTTGCTTGACGCACACCGCCATCCCGCGCGCGTTGATCCTCATCACCCTGTCGTAGACGGCGAGGTCGAGCTCGAGGATCGATTGGTTCGGGGGGCTTATGGTCCCGGCGTTGCTGAACACGATGTCGAGCCCGCCGTAGGTTTCGGCGGTCCAGTCCATGAGGGCTCGGACTTTTTCTTCGTCGGTGACGTCGCATTGGAAGTAGCTACACCGGTCGGAGCCGATGGAGTCGGCCACGGCGTGGCCCTTATCGTCCTGGATGTCGACGATCACGACGGCACGGGCGCCATACGCTGCGAAGAGGCGGACGGCGGCTTCTCCGATGCCGCTGGCGCCGCCGGTGACGACGGCGACTTTGCCCTGGAGCTTCTGGTTGAGGGGAGGAGCCATTGTATTGTGTTGGTTTAGACAATTTTAATCTCAACGTAGAACATCATCTTATTATATGATTGGATATTTATAATGAATGTCCCACTGCTCTATTAATTTAACACTGAAGAAGTTGTCATTTATGACCAAATTTGTTTGCATTGAATTTTCTTTGGGATATCATATCTTTTTTTATATTTTATTACTTTGGAGGCTGTTTTTTATTATTATTATTATTATTATTATTAATTTGTTTGATTATGATTTAAATTAATATTGTTATTATTTAATTAATACCATCTTCATTTTATTAAAAATATATTAGATATGAAGGATCATATTATTATTGTAAAAATAATATTTTATATTAAATTATTAATTTTTTAAATAAATAAGATATATATATATATATATTAATATATTAGGCTAATGTGTGTGTAAATAGTATATTTTCATTATGTCATCAAATATATATTAGATGAACAAATCTATTATCATTCAATATATTTTTTTTTTAACAATTTTTTTTTTAAAAAAAAATTAAAATAGAATTTAAGTATAATCCTATCTATTCATTAATGAATATGCAAATTGCAAACTATGTTTTTCATATTTTTAATTTTTTTTGTTTTATAAATTAATTTATTTTTATTATGCATAAATATTTTATTAAATTACAATTTTATTGTCAAATATATATTAAATTGTAATAAACTAACATTGTGCTACAACCCATGACATACGAGCAAATAGACCCTAAAATATAGAATTTGTTTGTCCAATAACTTTTTATTTCGATATAATTTTTAATAAATATAATATATAATGTACTTTTTTATAAAATATTAATATTTAATATAAATATAAAATTTTTATATTATCAACATAATTTTTATATATCACGTAAATATTTTATTATTATTATTTTTTTAATTAAATAGACCCTAAAATATGCAACTCGATAGCTTAGCCAATTGTACAATATTGACTAGGGTTAAGTATTCTAAGCCGAAGTTTGACTTAAGTCACTGTCATCAATAAAAATTTAAATGTCCAAAATATATTTTAATGAGATTTATGTTTGTGGCAACGGAAAATAATCAATTATGGCTGCTTTTTTAAATACTCAGATGAGTGGTCAAATTAAAAAAGGGAATAATACAGTAGGGATGACACACATATTATATAATACATTTTTAATATCTCGCAATTATATATATTATTTTATTTCCTGGATTTATATTTATTTATTTATTATTATTATTTTTAATATCTCAGCAATTATATATATTACTTTCTCCGTTACACTTCTTATGTCCACCTTTTATTTTTGTTCGTCCCATTTATTTTGTCATTTTCATTTTTCTAAAAAGAATTATATACTTTAATCTTATTTTAAAAAATTAAATTTATAATTTCTTAATTTTAATTATGTTAATCAATTATTTTAATTTTAATTTATAATTATTTTTATTATATAATAATTATTTTCAGTAATATATTTTTAATTATTTATTAATTATACTCCAGTTAAATTCAATTCCTGTATCTATAATAAATGTGACAAAATATTCAGGACAGTGGGAGTTTTTTATTTCCTGAATTTTTAGCTATTGAATAATATTAAGACAAGCACGTGCTTGACAGGGTGCATTATTCCAAGTATACCATTCAAAACTATACTCCTTCATCTCTACCACTTTGTTTATTCATTATTTCTATTTCATCCTTTATTTATGTCTTTCTTTTTTAAAAAGACTAATTATATATATCAGTTATAATTTTATATTTTATAATAAATAATTTTATAATTTTAAATTAATTTTAATTTATAATTATTTATATTAATATATTTTGAAATTATTTAATAATTAAATTTTATCTAAATTTTAATATCTATAATAATCTGAACATAAAAAATAGGATGGAGGAAATATTATACTTATTATAATTATATTAAGTAAAATAATAAATTTAGTGATGAAAATATATATAGTTAAAATTAAAGTTTTATTCAGTTTTTCTACAAGATATTCTTGCATTGTGGATGGTTTTAAAGCAATGAAATGCATAATTAAATTAATAATAATAATAATAATAATAATAATAATAATAATAAAAACATGTACATTTGGTCGCAAGTCAGGATATATAAGTATAAATTTAGGAGTGCTTGGTTTGAGTTTTAAATATAAATCAATACTTCTTTTTTTCTTTTTTTTTTATATATGTAAATTTTTTTTTGGTATGTTTTATACTCCGTTACGTCTAGCCATATGAGTTGCATTTTCTATTTTTTAGATGTTCGTTTATAAAAATTACATTTTTTTATTTAGTAAGTATCTACTTATCTTTTAGTTTAGAAATTCATCAACTATCATTATAATATAATATTTCTTAAATTTTTGTGTGAAAAGTAAATATAACTCTTGCACCAGGACCGGAGGGAATATAATTTTTTTATATTTTTGAAAAATAATAATATACTTTACTCACATTTGAAAATTTATAATTTATAAGTGTATTCATTTTGTATTTTCGATAAATATATATATTTTTTTATGTAAGGTATAAAAAATCGTATAGTAATACAAAAAATAATATTTTGTATTGAATTATTATATTTTGTGAGTAAATAAAATATATATATTATGTACTTTTATAATATTTATACAAAATCGTGTCATCCAAAAATAGATTGAATTATATTTTGTTATTTTAATTAAATTATAGGTTAATTCTTTTAATATCCTCTACTCCTAAATTATTAGTGAATCTCTCTATCCCCATAAATTTTGTTGCTAACTCTCTCTCTCTGTGTATATATATATATATATATATATTATAACATATAAATGGAAGTTTTGCACTTTGCCACTTGAATTGACAATGTTACCTTTCAACCTATAAAAAAATAACATATAAATAGAAGTTTTGCTGTGATCGCCCCATCGCCGTTCATCCATCATTTAACTTTTCACCTTATATAAAAAATTTTATTTTATAATTTAATTACGTTATAAAATTTAAAAATATTATAACTAATTATTAATTATAAAATACGTCCCACCATAATTGACACTATTTTCATTTTTGTCTGTCTCGTAATAATTGACACATTTCTATTTTTGGTAAAAATTATTAAATAAAAAACATATTTAACAAATATAAATCAACTTAATTAACTACATAACATATAACATCATAAATGGACGTATGATTCACTCAAAATCCCTTTATTTCTATCTTTCTTTAAAAAAATAAAATTTTTTTATCTATATTTAAAACTACACATCTTTTATAAAATTGATTTATGTTAATTATAAATAAAAAAATATTTTTGTATTTACTTATATTATAGAAAATTTTATTCTCTACAAAATGATATTTATATTACATATATTTTTTAATTGCTATATAATTTTTAAATATTTAAACATATATTTTGATTTTTTAAATCATATATATAAATTTACTTTAAAATTATAAATATTTTTAATTATATAAAAAATAATATCATAACTAATTATTATTAACTAATTAAACATCCTTATCTTAAATAACGTGTCCATAATCAAAGGATTTAATTTCGGTGGGACGGAGGGAGTATAATTTTTGTATAATTAAATATAGATAAAGTAATACTCTCGCCGTCCAGCTATAAAATATACATATTTCTATTTTTGGACGTCCAATTACAAAATAAATATTTTATTAAAAACTTCACTTTTTTCCACAAATATCCTTACTTTACATCACACCATTACTTTTACACCAAAAAATAAGGGCAAAAATGTCATTTTACTACTTTTAACTACCCACTATAATTAAAATACTACTATTATTTCTTAAATACAGCGCCAAAAGTAAATGTTTACTTTGCGTGTGGACGGAGGAAGTATATAATATTAGAAATATAATAGTAATTTTATAAATTAAAAACATAAACATATTTCCTTTCCTTCAAAATTCCCCCAATTTTGACAGAAACAAGATAAAGTTCATTTTAATAAGCTTTGGTTGCGGATATGGATTCGTCGGAATCCACTTTACTTGAACCTTTGTCGAAGTTCTGACTTCTGGTTCACGCTCACAATCTGTTCGACAAAATGACTCTTCATCTAAGTTTTTCCTTTCAACCTCATTTTTCACCCCACTGTCCACTTGTAATGGGTGGGATGGTTCCTCCTCGATCACCTTCCCGTCGGTCTAACAATTCTTAAACTCCCCCGAGAACTTGCTAGTGCAGCCTCGTACACATCTTTAATGTACGCTAAAGTAAGAACACTATAAATGCGCCCGGCAAAATAGAATGTTTTATTAACTCTCAAAACTGAAATGAAGTACTATTTCTTATTTATAGCCTGGCGTAGCCTTCACAATATATAAGACAGTAGTCGCCAAGAATCAGCTATTGCTTTTAGATCATTGGGAAAATTTCTCACCTCCAAGATTGGCTCACCATCGCCTTCTCCCCCAAAGGAAACTTCAAGCCTTTATGTAGATTTCCGTTTCAATATTTTTTGTAGAATTTATTCACGGTTATTGCTTTTGGGAATGAACGATCGATCGGGCAGATGTGAGGAATAAGATAATCTAGAAGTGCAACGGATTGGCGATAGCTCAAATTTGGAATAATGGTTTTACTTTATTCTCAAATTTGATTACGCTAGCACTGGAGTGTGTTGTTGCTATTTTATTTTCAAATTCGATTACGTTCAGGCCGGAGTTCAGAGGGTATGCTTGTGATTTTAAAACATTTTTCAGATTTTGAAGCATTTCGTTTTGCATTTTCATTGAACGTGTAATTTTGCACTTCATAACCTCACTAAGTACTTACATTAAGAGCACAACATGTAATACTTACAAAATATATATATATTTCTTTACAGATTTTCTTTAGAACTATGTTTACATGTTAGTCAAAATTGATTTTTAAAGTATATTTTTATAAATAGTAATTTGCACTATGAAGGTGAACCATAGAAGGATGCGAGAAGATGAAGCGGGAGTATTTTCAGCAGCTTATTAATGCTGTTTCTATTGCCATAGCAGTCAACATGAGAGTCT